CTCGGGAAGGGAGTGCCCTGGGGACAGCAGGGGGCTGGAGGGAAGCCGGCGGTGTCGGCAGGTGGCAGAGGAGGGAGAAGGGGGCCGGCTGGAGGGTGTGGACCTGCCCCCCTCACCCAGCTTCAGGCGGGGGCCCTGCAGCCAGTCGGGTCCCTGTGGTCCTGGGAGCCCACGTGGCTGTGATTCCGGCTGCTCTGGGCCCCCTTGACCCGCCCCGGGGGTCAGCGCACCTCCTGAACTTGACCGGGACTCTCGTTAAGGTGCAGCCGGCCTGGGATAGTGCATTCCCAACCCACTCCCCGGGGTCAGCGGCTCTGCCGACCACACCGTGCCAGTCACAGCAGCCCAAGCCCCAGTCACTCTGTGGCGGGGTCCGGCGCTGTGTGCACTTCCCCTGGGTGCCTTTCCACCTCTGCAGCGTGGCCAGCATCTCGGAAGCAGGGCAACAACAAGAAGGGAAAAGAAAGAAATCCGGATCAGCCCACCCTAACCCTGACTGTAGGAGAGTGCGCACCCCGTGGTGTGGGCACCGTTAAAGTTGGGGTGGGCAGGGAATACCCCCCTTGCAGTCTAATCCAGGGTCATGACTTAGCATCCAGCTCCCAGGAAGACTGAGCCCCATTGTGGAAGCTGCTGTTGAGGTGCCGGCGGGGACACGCCCTGTCCCCACAGTGTTACTGGTCTACCTGCTGGAGAAAGTCTTTGTTCCCCTGGGACTCTCCGTGGGCCTGGCCAGGCCTCCCGGGGCAGGGGAATCACTTCCTGAACTCTGGGTCTTGAAGTTGTTCCAGTTTCTTTTTCTTTGTTTGGTCAGTCGCTATCCTGAGTTCCACGTAGGCTGCGGGGACATAGTCTGAATCTATAGGTGCCGACTGACTTGGAGGTTTCCTGGCCTCATTTCCTCACCTGGGCTCCCTGGGCTCACCTGGACCCACAGCCTTCCTGGGGTTGAGTCCTGGTTATGCTGCTGAGCCCCGTGCCCACAGGCCCCTTACACCCTCCGTCAGAGTTTCCTGCCAGGGTCAGTAGAGAGAGGCAGCGTCTTTGGCCCAGGGTTGCCGGGCCTGGCAGCTGAGCCCCGTGGGGCCGAGCCCAGCCCTGTGGGAGCTGGAAGACCAGGGAGGAGCTGAATGGGCCCTTTGAGAGGCGGCCCTGGGCCCCGATGTTTGTGTGCAGAACACAGGGCTTTTCAGCACGTGGGCTCCTCCGCCCCGTAACTTTCCGCAGCGAGAGGCCGGTTCCCTGCCTGTCATCGCAGAGCGGGGACTGACGACACGCTCAAGTCCAGAGGAGGCTCCCTGAGCAAACGCAAGCGTGGATGGTCCTTCCCTTCTGTCCCTCGGTGGGCAGTGGTGTAACTGCGGCTTCGGCAGTTGGCTGGGGGCCATGTCACTGATGGCTCCCTTTCCTGGTCCTCACTGAGGGTCCTGTTTAGATAAGCTTGTCCACGGTGCCATAAGTAATTCGGCAGCATTTTCCAGGTGCCAGAGAGCCTTACTAGTATGTACGAGGAGCCAAATGTGGAAAAGCATCGTTCTCATTCTTAGGCAGCTAATGATGTGAAAGATGAAGGAGGCACCAAAGATGTGTGCAGGGACGGGAGTGGAGGATCGGCAAGCGTGGATTTGAAGTTGGCAGTAGGTGGGCAACAGAAAGTGCCCTGGATGCGATGGCTGGAGGTTGGGAAAGAAGGGATTCTGGGAAGGAACCGTGTGAAGAGAGACTTGGGACAAGCCCCCGTGGTCCTGCCCCAGGTGCCATCAATAATTCGGTTGAGCTGGTGCCCACGCAGGGCACCCCGGTGATGGAATCACAGGCTTGAATTGTCCGTGGGCTTGTTGAAGGTCAGTCAGAGGAGTGTGCCCTTGGCAGGCCACGGGAGCTGTGGAAGGTTGGATCAGGGCTTAGTGGATGACTTTCTAGAAGGAACCTGAGCTAGTCACCTGTATTTGGAGAAGAGAGAACTGATGATTCTAATCAAGACACACTCAGACCCGCCTCACCATGGGCCTACAGACCCCACGCCTGGGGCCCAGACTTCCCGGGAGCTGGATGGTAATACCTGCACCTTGATTAGATTGCAAGGGCAGGAGGAACAGGCAGAGTGGGTGGGCAGGCTGCACTCAGACCCTCCCTTTCTCCAGCTCATAATCCACATTCTTGGAGCTTCTCGGGAACTGTTTCCCAGTGTCGTCACCTCTTTCCTAGTCTCCTCAGTGTCCCCACATCTCTGCTTCCAGAGTTAGATGATTTCACGGAGGGATGCGTGGTGGACAGGTGCATACACCAACCCAGACACGCCAGCTCAGGCGGATGTGGGTCAGAACTCAGAACACGTGCGCGTCACCAAAAGGGACCGCGGGCACCGCGGACACTGACCCTCTCGCTCCTCTGCACACAGCCGTATCCAGCATGCTCCGAGGCCACAGCGCTGTGTTCCAGGCCTTGCTGGGGACCCTCTTCACCTGGGGGCTGACGGCCGCCGGGTCGGCTCTCGTGTTCATATTCTCTAGTGGGCAGGTGAGTCGTCCTGTTTGGGTTCTGGAAGTTCATGGGACTCTCAGCAGGCTCTGGAGCACCTGCCCCCGCAACGCGGGGTGGCCACGCCTCCAGGTTGTGGGTGATGCTGTTCTCTCCTCTCATTTGCCCTCCTTGTCCCTCCCAGGCCTGGAGAGCAGGTGTCCCTGATCACGTGCTTCTCCCCCCGACTCCAGGGAGTGGGGAGCGAGAGGCCAGGGATTCAGCCTCCTGGAGCCCCTGCCCGGTTTCTGCCCTCCATCAGTTCCTCCAGGCCTGGTGCAGGTGGCAGTGCGTGCTGAAGAACAGTAGGTGGGGGTTGGGGGAGGGGCAACTGCCCTGCCCTGTGGCCTTGAGTTCGCTGGGATGATTGGAGAGACGGTGGGGAGAGGAAGGGTATCTGTCCCCTCTCTCTCTCACTCCAAATCCGGGGCTCCTCATTCCCTCTGCCACCCCCTTTGGGACAAATACACTCAAACCTGCCTCACCGTGGGCCTACAGACCCCACGCCTGTCCACCCACCCCCACCTGTTTTTACTCAGCCTTATGCACCTACCCACTCATGTACCCCTGTACCTTCATATCTGTCCCTCCCCTACTATCCCTCCTACACTTCCACCCCTCCACACATATCCCTTTCACCGCACCCTCACCCAGAACCCACTCTCCCTCTCCCGCATTCCACATGCCCCACCTCTCTCCTCCCCAGTCCATGCCCACCTCCTGGGCCTGAATTCCTTACTCTTCTTCAACCCTCTGCTCCCTCCATCCCCTAGCCCAGAGCCATCCACGGATCACTTGGTGACCGGATCACTTGGTGACAGCAATCTTCGAAATTGTAGGCGTGCTAAGGCGTCAGTGATTTCAGATCTAGTTAAACATGCTGTGATGCGGATCTGGAAACTAAACCGTGTCTGGGAAGTTGGCGAGCAAGTCATGGTGGTGTTAGAGACCAGTACAGCAGGTATCGATGTCAGCGATAAGATCAGACCTCCCCCTGCATCTCCTCCCTCCCCAGGGAGGCCTGGAGGCCAGCACACAGCCTGGCTCCCAGGTTACTGTCCACAGGTAGTGAAACATTCGAAAGCCAGTCCCGGAATGGGAGCCGCCAGGGGCCAGAGGACAGAGGACAGGGTAACAACTTACCTGACCCCTCCCAGTCCTGCTCCTGGGTCCCCTGGGGCAGAACAGCCCAGGTTGTCACCTCTACCAGTTTCTTTGGCTTTGAGAAGGTGAGACCTGAGATGCTCTCACTGGGTCTAGCTGACCATCAGGATCCGAGTTAAAGGCTGCACTGCGATGAGTAGGACCTTGCAGCCCCGTGTGGCAAGTGGGGCTCTTCAGAAGTGGGGAGCCATCCCAGGGGGGCCCCTTCCCCTTTGGAGCTGGTCAGGAGGAGGAATTGCCGAGCCCTTTCCCTGTGCGGAGGCATACAGGCTGTCCCCCGAGACCACCCACTCGTCCGCTGACTCACTGGAGGGACCCACAGGGCTCAGCATGTGGTTGTCCCCGTGGCTAACGCTCCTGACAGCGAAAGGACACCCGGCAGGCTCAGCGAGGAAAGACAGGCAGACTCTGGAGACCTGCGAGCCCAGGCTCGTGCCGCCCTGCCCCGCGGTGGCCCTTCCCCGGACCATTTCCACGAGTCTATCCAGGGACGCCCATTAGAGACTTGGGCTCCTTTTAAAAAATAGACATATTTTTATTGATTGCAGAGAGGAAGGGAGAGGGAGAGATCGAAACATCAATGACGTGAGAGAATCATTGATCAGCTGCCTCCTGCACACCCCCTACTGGGGACGGAGCCTGCAACCCGGGCATGTGTCCTGACCAGGAATCTGAACCGTGACCTCCTGGTTCATAGGTCGATGCTTAACCACTGAGCCACGCCGGCCAGGCAGACTCAGGTTCTTATTGGGCACCGCTACTCTCAGAATCTCAGAGTTGCAGGAGGAAGCGGGTGTCCCTCAGAAGTCGCTGGGTCTGTAGAGCAGGCACCGTGACCCACCCTTAGGGTTAGGAGAAGGAGGGTGCAGGCTCGGGTGGGCTCTGCTAAGCCTTCTGCACAGGAGGTGTGCGTGAGAGTGGGAGGGGCACGGCCTGGGGAGACAAAGGCCGCAATAGGTGTGAGTCCACAGAGTACACTCCGTCCTCCTGCGCAAACCCCCGTTTTCACTCAACTGACACGGGGGTGCGGTGAGGATCACTTGAGAGAGGAGACACTCAGACACCAGCCTCTGTTACCAACATCGGTGCAGCTACACTCAGCATTTGTTTTCCTGACTTAAAAAAAAAATAATGTTTTAATTCTAGAAAACTTGTCAAATATAGGAAAGCTTAAAGGAATACTTTAGAAAGTTTCTAATCCTACTTCGTAGAAAGGAAAAGCATATTTGCTCAGATTTGTTCAGTTGTATTGGAGTATGCTTAAGTAATATACGTGTCTATTTTCTTTAAGGAACAGGGATCAAATGGTATATAATGTTTCATAACCAGCTTCTCTCATTTGACATTGTAAGCATCCCTCATATCCCTAAATTTTTCTTTGATTGCTTTCATTATTCTGATTACTTAAATGGCCATGTAGTATCCCGTCCTAAATATGTACTGCAATTCATTTACCCAGTCCTCAACTGCCGGGCCACTGGGTTATGGCCTTTCTTCCTTGCTTTTAGGAAGAGTGTTATGATGAGCACAAATCTGAGCACATGTGATTAGTTCCTTGAAATAAATATCTAAAAGTGGAATAACAGGTTTATTGACTTTAAAAAGGTGCAGTGTTTCGCCTTTGAAGATCCAGATGAATGCTGCTAGGATGCGTTTCCCTGGCTTCTTTGTTGTGTCTGATTCCCTAACTTCTTCATTAGATCTGTCTGGCTTGATCACATGAGTTGGTTAGATTAACTTGGTTCATGTCATGAAGCTGCCCACAGTGAAGAATGTCGTTTGTATGCTCACCGGGGTCAAAGCCTTCCATCCACCCCATAGTCACCCAGAGCGGGGACGAGGCTGCGCGTGGCTGGAGATGACCGACCGGACAGCTCTTGTTACCTAGTCCTGATGGGAACCTTCCGGGTTGGAAAAGTAACACCTCAACATGCCTGTAACATGTTTGCATGGCTGTAGATTATATCCCTAATTTAGGCCACTCTTTATTTTTTTTTGTTAATCCTCACCCGAATATTTTTTCATTGATTTTTAGAGAGAGTGGAAGGCAGAGGGAGAGACAGAGAGAGAGAAATGTTGATGTGAGAGAGACACATTGATTGGTCAGGGCGGGGAATCAAACTGCAACCGAGTACGTGCCCTTGATCGGAATCGAACCCAGGACCCTTTAGTCTGCAGGCCGATGCTCTATCCGTCCGACCCCAGCGGGTCCAGGGGTCCCCAAAGGTGTGGACGGAGTCGGCGAAGAAGGAATGACATGGAGACAGCGTTCAGTTGATCAGCAGCCTTGCCAGGATCTCTAGCCACAATCTCCATAACAAAATTACAGTTATGAAGTAGCAACGAAAATAATTTTATGGTTGGGGGTCACCACAACATGAGGAACTGTATTAACCCCTTCCCCTGCAGAAACGTGTATACTCGTTTTCACAAAATGTTCTTTTTCAGTCGTCGACGAGTATATTAAGAAAATATGGTAAAAAAATATGGTTTATAGGAAGACGAGTTACAAACTGTTTTCATAACCAGCATCAAAAATACTATATAGAACCAAAATAAAAAAATTAGTCTGAAAAAGAAACGTTTTTAACAAAAAAATTGTTGGGGAAGGCGTTAATTACCCACCTGGCACTTAGTTAAGAGGTTTTATTCCCTCCCTAACTTCAGGGGAAAATCCCTACCTGGGAAAACAACCTTTCTCAGAGAGGTGACCTTGGTTAAAACACAGCGCCGAGAAGGTGAGCAAACATATTAAGAACAGTATTCCATATATGCCAGGTCCCTTGAAACAGCAAGGATGGACTGGCTCCCGGTACCAAACCAGCTAGGACATGGTTCCCCTTTAATCACGACCTACACCCCAACCTCCAGTCAAAGGCAATCCCTCTCCTGGCCTCCAACAGCAGAGTTGTTTTCTCTGTTTTGCTACATATGTAACCAGAATGGTCATATAATGTATTTTTTTCAGTGTATAAGATGCTATTTTTTTCTAAAATCATTAGACTGAAAATCTAGGGGCGTCTTATACACGGAAGTCAGCCGAGGAGGGAGCTGTGTGGGTGCGTAGCTGCCCATACCTTGTCAAACAGGCTTCCTCCAATCATGAGCCTTATTGTTACCGACGTCAGCTGATGCCATAATTGGAGGTGGAGATGGAGAGTGTGCAGATGCAACAGGGACCGGAGCATTCTGAGCCCATAAAGATATCAAAAAATAAAAAGACAAACACTGGTAAGCGATTGTCTTACTCTGCAAAATTCAAACTGAATGTACTCAGCTGTGCAAGAGAGCGTGGAAATAGAGCTGCAGAGAGACAATGTGGACCTCCTCCCACTGAGCGTAGGATCAGACAGTGGAGAAAACAGGAAGAACAACTCCTTAAGATGCCAAAAAAGAAGAAGGCCTTAAGAAGAAAATCCAAAAAATGTTGAAAATATCGATTTCTTAATTTTGGGTTGGAAAAGTGGGGGGTGTCTTATAATTGGAAAAATACGGTATGTAGTATGCACTCTTGGTGTCTGGCTGATTTCACCCCATTTATTTCCCAGTGTCCTGGCCGTCCCTGGATGTGCACTCCATCCATATGTATTTTGTGTGTGTTCTCGTTGCCGTATGGTATTCTGTTGTGTGACTATATTCCAATGATGTACCCACTTGGGTGGTTTCTAGTTTCCGGCTCGCACAGTGCTGCCAGGAGCGTTTCTGTCCACGTGCTTGGTGACCTCGAGTGTGTGTTCCTGTTAGGCGGTGACTCAAGAGTGGCACCGCTGGGTCACAGGGTGTGCCTGTGGCCACCTCCAGCGGCTGTGCCAGTGTGCACCCCCACCGGCAGCCTGGGAGGGTTTTGTTTGGTCTGCATGCTCCTCTCCAACATTTGCCAATTTCCATCTCGGAGACCAGCGGCTCACTAAAGGCTCAGAGTCATAATTCACAGAGAAAGGAAGAGGCAGCACGTGGGCCAGTGCAGGTGGGCCGCCTGGAAGAAGACTCTGATTGGCTGTGGGATGGATGGGAGGGCAACCATTTCCCCCAGCTGATTTTTGGCCCATTTTATAAAGGCTCGGCTTCAGGCAGATTTGATCCAGGTGTGGGCCGGTCTTCATTCACGTGGCTGTCTCAGGGGTTATGGTTCCCGGTCGTCCCAGGAATTATCCCTCAGAAACTGAAACGTCCTGTTTTCATTTGCAGAGGCGGATCCTAGATGGAAGCCTTGGCTTCGCTGCAGGGGTAAGTGGCATGTTATAAGAAGAAGGTAAATTGAGGCGCGTTTACTCTGACATTTCTCTGCTGACGGGTTTTTCCGGTCTCTCTCCACGTGACCAGGATGCATCTCTGATGTCCGGGTGCTAGGAGCTCCCTCTTATCACCAACCCGGTTAATTCCTGGTCTATTTAAGGCCCCGCCTCTCTTTAGACAGCGAAAGGAGCTTGTTGGGCAGCTGGCGGAGAACTTGTAAAACAAGATAACATTTGGGAAGGGCCTAGCACAGGGCTTTGTGGGCACTAATTAAACTTCTCTTTCTCTCCTCCTCTTCCCTGTAAAAGACCTTTTGACATAGACATCTTCAAACATGTAGAAAAGTGGAGAGAGTTCTATGCACGCCAGGTACCCGCCAGCCAGCTTCTGTCATTATTGACATTATGCTGACCTCATTTCATCTGTCTTCCCCCAACTTTCTTGGGAGGTTGGAATAGTTAGTAACAGCGAATCCCAGACAAGTAATGGCACCTGTAAATTCAGCATGCCCAGAATGCCTTGTATTTTTAAAAAATATATATTTTTATTGATTTCATGGAGGAAGGGAGAGGGAGAGAGAGGTAGAAACGTCAGTGATGAGGGAATCATTGGTTGGCTGCCTCCTGCACAGCCCCTACTGGGATCGAGCCCACAACCCGGGAATGTGCCCTGACTGGGAATCAAACCGTGACCTCTGGGTTCATAGGTCGACACACTCAACCACTGAGCCACGCCGGCCAGGCTGCCTTGTATTTTTATAAGCATAGTCACCATGGCATTAGCCATAATTCCTATTATAATCTGACACCCAGCCCAGATCTCCTGCGAGCCCTGAGTGAGACCTGGAGGCTGGATGAATTGGGATTCCGATTTCGGGTCTGAGCATGCCATGGCGGTGCTGTGTATTCCGGTCGTGAGTCCCATCACAAGGCGCGTGACTGGGTTTTCCCTTTGGTTGATCGGGATGTAGTCCTTCCTCCTGTTTTAATAGTCCTGTGACGTGCAAACACTAGCCTGGGGGTGGGACCTCCCCTCACCCCGCCCTCTGCCCCCGTTCAGAGGTCCTCTGAGTCAGCAGCTCTGTTGAGGGCACGTGGAGACACGGCCCATGTGACACAGGTGCCCCCGGAGTGTTAACAGAGTCAGATCCGGGTCCTCGGCTCCCGGTTTTGTCCTCTTTCTCAGAGCTGCCCGGCCAGAGAGGCCCTGACTCACAGCTGGCACTTCTTTCTCAGGCCCCTTGCTCAGTCGCCCTCTCCCATTTCACAAAAGAAAGACACATTCTAGGCTGATTTCCGTGTGTCTGGGTAGCACAGTCTCCACACAGGAGCAGAGGGACCCCGAGTGTAGGTGAGGAGGAGGTGCGGGAGCTATCGCCAATCACTGCCCGCAGGTCCTGGAGCAATTCCGCTGCCATCCTGCCCTTTGATGTGAGTCTAATCCAATTGTGAGCAGAGAGGCCCTTAAAGGCAATGTCCATGATGGGCCACAATGAGATTTGGGGCTGTAACTTGGAAGGAGTGCAGAGAACAAAATGACATTATTATAACAAAATATCTACTTTCCCCATCTTCCGTTAAATAAAAGACAAGACAAAGAAAACTAGAAATAAATTGATGCCTCACTGTTTTCTTAGAGCAACGACTACTTAGTATTTATCCATGTTTAGAGGAACAGTTGAAAAAAAAACAAGAAAAAGGTCTCATCCGTGAAAATGTGCATTTCCAAGCATATTTTATTTTAATGATGATGAATCATGTATTATATTGTTGTTATGAATCTGTCCTCTAATGGTTGTAATGGTAACTCAATCCAGGAAATTGTTACTTAAGCAGCTAGAGCCCTAAGGCTCACAGGAGATTTTAACAAATGGAATTGAAATGTATATAAATATATTGAAGAGAGGTGTGATAAAGACCTCAATAATAGACTCTCTAGCCTAAAATCTGAATTGCTCGAGGGTAAAAGTCTATGGGGAAAGGTAATTAAATCCAAGCCAGAGGAGAAGGAATGACGCAGATTTTCCGACTTTTGAAGAGGCCGCCTGTGCATTCGGTGTGTGTAGAGTAGAACCCACGGCCAGGAACGCGCGAGGAACATAAGCGCACAGCTTCGCTGGTAGGAATTTTTAGGGGGATCACAGTGGGAGTCAAGTCCCGGTGCTGTTTAGCTACAGATGAATGGCTGGTCAGACAGTTTTGTATAAACACACCAATATTTATGCGCCAGAAATGATGTCCTTTGCAACTCCATTAACACAGATGAAAGCTTTTTAAATGTCAGTTTCAAGTGAGTGGTGGGGGTACCTCGAGTATCAGCGTCCTTGTAGGGGCCACACTGACCGCCTCTGCTCTGTGCTGTCTTCAGGCTTGTGCCCGGGCACCCAGGGGTCCTGTTCTGCTTCACTCTTTTAGGCCAGGAGGCACTCTAAGGTTCTCGTGGCCAAAGACATAAAACGGAAGGAGACAAAGAGACAAAACCAGAGAGCATTTGTCTTCAGGACATGGAGGAACGAATTCGGGAGCAATAAAGCTCAAACACTTAAGATGTAACTTCCTTAAAACCATCATCAGACCAGTGTATTACTGTGTTCACTTAACTGTGAGCATCTAAAAAGGTTTTACTTTTTTTTTTCTTCTCCAATCCTCACCTGAGGAGATGTTTAGAGAGAGAAAGGAGAGAGAGAGAGAGAAACATCGATGTGAAAGAGAAACAGCAGTTTTCTCCCATGTGTGCCCTGATGGAGGTTTAACCCGCCACCTTTGGGTGTATGGGACGATGCTCCAACCAAACGAGCCACCCCGCCAGGGCTAAAACAGTTTTACTTCTGATTTTTAAAGTAGTTGGTAGGGAAAAAAAAGATTCTGAAAGTTATTTCTGTGTTTAAAAAATCAGAATAAGAGTCATTTCTTTTTCTAAATTGACCTGGAAAGTGAGCTAGTCGCACAGAGGAGCTCCTGGCAGCTCACCAGATGCACAGAGGAAGGGCGGAGGGCGATGTGGAGGCAGCTGGGTCGGACTCGGAAGACTCAGAGGCCCTGGTGATGGGCGTGGGTTTTCATAAATGCTTCCCGAGCTCGGAAAGGCGACGGGGCCCAGGTGGCCGGAGCTGTAATGACCGCGTGTGCTCATCGTGGAATCATGTGTTTAATGGAGCTAATCTGTTGGGCAGAACAGTGGTTCTCCACCAGGGGCCATGTTGCTCCCCAGGGGACAGTTGGCATGTTGGGTTGTCACAACTGGCGTCCAGTGGGTAGAGGCCAGGAATGCTGCTGAACACCCCATGAAACACAGAATCCCCTCCCCTCCCCCCCGCAAAGAATCATCCAGCTCCAAGTGTCAGTGTGCTAAGCTGAGGAACCCTGGTCTAGAGAATTCCAATGTATCATCTCTAGTCACAGTGTGGAATGTCTAAAAATTCAGGTGTTTTCCAAGTTAAAAAAAGGAGGAGGAGGAGGAGGGGGAGGAGGAAGCCCCCTTGCTTCCCAGAGGTCAGCAGTGCTAACCCCGAGCTCCTTGGAGAGTTTTTATGACTCACTCACAGAGCATGGGGGCAGCTCACCGTGCTGTAGTGCCCGGATCTGAAGGACGCTGCGTCCTCAGCACAGCTCTGAGACGCCTCGAGTAAATATCTCGGAAAAGTGAAAACCAGCCATCGGTCAGTTGCCTGGTGTCCCGTGGCACCTTGCACAGGCGTGACCTGTTTCTACGGTCAGTTGTGCATGCATTTATGTATGTGTCGTATGTGCATTGACATACTTATCTAATATGATGCTGCAGTGACATGCGTATACAGTATTTACCTGTGCCCTGAAGCAAGGGTTTTGGTGAGAGAGATTCCTGGCATAAGCGTCCTGTGTGTTTTAAACGGGCTTGACCATATGCTTCACAGTTTGTTTGTTTTTTGCATCAGCAGGACCTTGGAAGCAGGAACAGTCCTCCTTAAATGACTGTCCTTAAAATCCATTTGCTTGTTTGTCTCTTGACTCCTTAAATCACCGTCCAAGTCTCTAGTAATCACTGTCTTTTTCTTCCCAGTGCCTGGCTCTGGCCTGATCTTTGCCCGAGGCCTGGAATTAGTGGGGAGGGATGCTACCATTAGAAAGAAGCAGGATGGTCATTATTCCCTATTAGAGTCCCCCAGCAATGCAGCCTGAAGGCCGGAGGAGAGTTGAGATGACGATGATAACTGATATTGTTTATCGAGTCCTCACTCCATACAAGGTGCTCTGGCATGCACTGTGATCGACTCGTTTAATGTTCATAGCAGCTCTGTGAGGTGCATACCAGGTGCAATTATGTACCCCCATTCCGCAAATGAGGAAACTGAGGCACAGTGACTATTAATAAATGGTTCAGGATTACATGGTGAGCAGAGCTGGGATTGCAACCCACAGTCTGACTGTAGAGCTCCCTCTATTTTAAAAACAAATTTTTTAAAAAATTGATTTCAGAGAGGAAGGGAGAGGGAGAAAGAGAGAGAGAAACATCAGTGATGAGAGAGAATCACTGATCGGCTGCCTCCTGCACACCCCACGCTGGGGATCCAGTTCACAACCCGGACATGTGCCCTGACCTGGAATCAAACCGTGACCTCCTGGTTTATCGGTTACGCTCAGCCACTGAGCCACGCTGGCTGGGCCTAATGGAGGTTTTGAACGTGAGGTCTTTTGGACCACACTGACATGGGCCGGGCCACAGCCTGAGTACCAGGATGGTGGGGAAGGAGGGTGCTATACTGGTTCTCTGTTTCTGAGCCAGGATTTTCCTCTTTGTAAGGCTGAGAGAGGCAAAGGGCCCCAAGATCACCTCCCAGGGCCTCCTGGATTCTACTCTGCACATTTCTTGTTCTACACTGGGATGCAATGGCCTGGGAGGCAGTGCTTGTGTGTTTTAGGGCAAGGCTGCCCTTTCAGTGGGCATTCAGTGTGGGCGTGGGGCGGTGGACCAGGATTAGCTGGCTGGGACCTGGAGCTACCAGTCGCTGGGGC